TACTACTAGTTCAATGAAGCATTCAATGAGTCAGTTCATTCATGAGTCAATACTCACTATTATGAGAAACTATACAACAAAACTATTATGAGAATTTATAAAACGATACTATTATGAGAAACTATACAACGATACTACTGTGAGAAACTCTACAACGATACTATTATGAGAAACTATACAACAATACTATGATGAGAAACAATACTTTCACTACACCAATACATACATTACATATACAGGTATACTATAACATAAATGTGATGCACTATTTCAGGGCATGTCTTCACTGCCATGGCCCGATTCGCAACCAGAATCTCCTGGAGGGAGAGCGTGAGTTTGCATCTTGATCTATACTGGACTGACTATCCTACACCTTGTTGCTAGCTACAGTGGGACCTGTAGGTTTTCGGGTGCCAAATGTCATTACCTTCGATGTCTTACATCGCCGTTGTAATAGTCGATAGCATGGTACAATTAATCACATAAAACCTTAATATAAATCCGGTTTAAGGTAGTTAGTACAACAGTAGTTACTATAATACAACACTACAACACTACATTTATTTACCCTTTACATTTATTTTTTGACCACTTCACTTAAACAATAATGTACAAACTATATTTTGATTATGATAGTTACACTTGGGAAAAATTATACACTTTTACAAGAAACAAACATACAAAACAGTCGTGCCTTGGTAGAAGGCTACTTTTTATTTGACCAACTGCAAGGGGCTGAGATGCAGGAACTATCTTGTAACGACCCAATTTTCACGTCCAAAAATTTCATTTTTTGTAAACATTACTTAGAAAACATTAGTAATTGAAACATTGTTTAATTAAACCATTTCACATCGAAAACCCAAATTTGAAATCCACAACATGTAAACAACCAAAATATCAGAGTATCAGTCCCAGAATAAACTCATAACTGCGGAACAAGAGTGTGTGTGAGATGCTGCTACCGCGCCGACTCTTTTCCCTTAGCTAAAGAGGTACCTGAAACCAAAACTGAAAACTATAAGCACGAAGCTTAGTGAGTTTCCCCCACTGTACCACATACAATATAACCACATAACATACATATATTGTCAGGCATATCCAGGTGCCCGACCTACCCTTTCGGTCCTCTCGACCGGACGTTGCCTAGCATACCTAGGTGCTGGCCTCCCCTTCGATCCTCTCGACTGGATACTACCTAGCATATCTAGGTGCTGGCCTCCCCTTCGGTCCTCTCGACCGGATACTGCCTAGCATATCTCGGTGCTGGCCTCCCCTTCGATCCTCTCGACCGGATACTGGGGAACCATTTTCCCCTCTACTACTACCACATAACATGTATCACAATATCAGAATCTATCTAGCATGGTTGGGTATGACTACCCCTTTGTCCCTACCGACCAGATATCTTGGGGACTATCTCCCCTTACTGTCACAAGCACATAGCATCATATCATACTGGCACATAAACATAACACAGGTGGTAGCAACCCTAGATGAATATCACAGAGAAAATCATCTATCATACATCTCCTACTGGTGGGTCGGCATTGTGGCCTTAGACCCACCGCTACTGGAAGGTAACTCACCTCAACGTAGCTACTGATCTGATCGGGAACTGACTGTCTACTACTGCTGCTGCTCCGGACGTCCTCCGACTATAAATCCCACAAAACGATCATTCAAACGCTGCTAGATGTTCTTAGGGTAAAATGACCCTTTTACCCTTGACCAAGTCGAAATCCAAGTCAAAGTCAACTTCCAGTTGACTGGACTCGCCGAGTTCCTCGAGCAACTCGCCGAGTTCCTCGAGCGGATCCCCTACTCGCTTCCAATCCACACCATAACACCCCATACGAGGGTTTTGGGGGTTTCGGGGACTTCGCTACATGGTTATTTCCGCGTGCGGGTACGAACGGTTGACCCTTTAATGCTTAAACTCCTCTTGCTCTGCGAAAGTTCATATGACTCGCCGAGTTTGAAGAACAACTCGGAAAGCTCCAGGAAATCTTCATAGGACTCGCCGAGTTGTTCATCCAACTCGCCGAGTCTAAGACCATCTTCATAGAACTCGCCGAGTCCCTCGACCTATTTCCCGAGTAGGCCAGATCTAAGACATGCAATGCTTCAAAACCACAGATCTATGGTCCTAGGGCATGTTTACCACGTAAAGTTGCAAACTTTACGTGCATGCACGGCCCTATGAGCTCAAACATGCAATTCTAAGCTCTTTAAGAGGTCCTACACTCAATAGGGACCTCAATCACCTCAACCACAAAGACTTTATGCTACTAGGATGTCCTAAAGGTCCAAATCCGAAGTCCTTGCAGAACATTAACCATAAACACATAGAGATTTAGGCTCTTAGGGCTTAAAACCTCTTTTTAGGGACAAGAAAGGGGGTTCAATGAACTAAAGATCATGGTAGGAACTTTTCTACCTGAATAGAAGCCCCTCACAGAGTAGATTCCGGATCTTATTCTCTTCTTGCACTCCTCAACCTTCTCCTTCTTCTCCCAAGCTCCAAACCACCTTTACAATGCTAAAAAAAATCACCCACAAGGACACAAAGGGCTAGGGTTTTGTTCTACAGATCTCTGGGAGTGCTAGGGGAAATGGAGGCTGGGTTAGATCATTTAAATAGGGTGCAAACACCCGGGTTAGGGTTTTAGTCCAAACAGGATCTACTCGTCGAGTCCCACGGGCCTACTCGCCGAGTAGACAGAGCTGATCCTGTGTCTAGTCCTGCTTCTACTCGGCGAGTTAGTCCTTCAACTCACCGAGTCCAAGATTAAAATGCAATACATAAGGAGGGTTAATAATCAAGAATACATAACAGGAACCAGGTGCTACATATCTGCTCAACTTAACGAACTACTAAGCAAGAGCTTTATTAGACCAAGCTTCTCACCCTGGGGAGCACCGTTCTTGTTTGTTAAGAAGAAAGATGGATCATTCCGTATGTGTATCAACTATAGAGAACTTAACAAACTCATGGTCAAGAATCGTTACCCTCTGCCTCGCATACACAATTTATTTGACCAACTGAAAGGGGTGAGTTACTTTTCCAAGATTGATCTAAACTCTGGATATCACCAGTTACGAGTGCTAGAGGAGGATGTTCTGAAGACAGACTTCAGAACTCGTTATAGATACTACGAGTTCATGGTGATGCCATTTGGACTGACTAATGCACCCTCAGTATTCATGGACTTAATGAATAGAGTATGCCGTCCTTTTTTGGATCAATTCGTCATCATCTTCATTGATGTGATACTGGTCTACTCTTGAATTAAGGAGGAGCATAACGATCATCTGCGACAAGTTCTAGGAACCTTACGATCGGCGAAGCTCTATGCAAAGTTCTTTAAATGTGAATTTTGGATCCGAAGAGTCAAATTCTTAGGACACATGGTTAGCCAAGAAAGAATCCACGTGGATTCTTCCAAAATTAAAGCCATTGAGAACTGGTCAACACCAAAGAAGCCTACAGGAATTCGTCAATTTCTAGATCTCGCTGGCTACTACCGCAGATTCATACAAAACTTCTCCCAGATTGAAAAACCTCTTATAAAAATGACCCAGAAAGGCGTGGCCTTTGACTGGGAAGATAAGAAAGAAAAAGAGTTTCCACCGCTGAAGCGAGTCTTATGCACCTCAGCCATACTATCCCTCCCTGAAGGGATAAAAGACTTCATAGTATACTGTGATGCATCCAACTGGGGGCTCATTTGTGTTCTGATGCAACGAGGTAAGGTTATCGCATATGCTTCAAGACAACTAATGACACACGAAGTCAACTACACCACACATGATCTTGAGCTAGGAGCAGTTGTGTTTGCCCTGAAGATCTAGAGACACTACCTGTATGGTTCGAAACGCACTATGTTTACAGACCACAAGAGTTTACAACACATATTCGACCAGAAGGTGCTCAACATGAGACAACGACAGTGGGTCGAACTACTCAATGACTACGAACGCAAAATTCGTTATCATCCGGGTAAAGCCAACATAGTAGAAGACGCCCTAAGTCAGAAAGAATATTCTGGTCGAAGGGTCACATTATTGACCATGACTATCCATTCTCACATGTCCGCACAAATAAAGGAGGCTCAACTCGAAGCCTTGAAACCTGAAAACGTGGCGGGTGAATCCCTTAGAGGGATGAATAAGAATTTGGAAGTCAAGGATGGCAGGGCCTTATATCTCACGGACCAAATCTGGACACCGAAACACGGTAGCTTCAGAGACTTGGTCATGACCAAAGCACACAACACTCAATATTCTGTCCACCCAGGTTCAGATAAGATGTATCTGGATCTTAAAAAGTTATACTAGTGGCCTAAGATGAAAGCAGAGATTGCTACCTTTGTGAGTAAATGCTTTACTTGCGCAAAGGTCAAGGTTGAATACCAGAAACCCTCTAATTTACTACAACAACCAGAGATACCAGAATAGAAGTGGGAGTGGATCAATAAGGATTTAATAACCAAGTTGCCCAAGACAACAGGTGGACATGATACCATTTGGGTCATCGTCGACAGATTGACCAAGTCTGCACAGTTCCTACCTAACAAAGAAACTAACAAGATGGAGAAACTTACAAGAACTTTAATTCAGGAGATCGTATGACTGCATGGTGTTCCTATATCCATTTTCTCTGATAGAGATAGTAGGTTCAATTCGAGG